CCAGGCAACCAGGCCCGGGTCTTGGGACAGCCTTGGCTGCAGGCTCCTGCTATGGGTTGGGGGAGGCTGCTATGATGTGGGGGATGCGGGGAGAGGCTAGGCTTCCAGGACAAGAGATGGAGAGACCCGCCTCCTGAGGTCCTGGCGGTGAGGTCCGAGGACTCAGGTGGGCTTTCTTCCCCAAGGAAAAGGCTGATTGGCTGGAGGCCCTTTGGGGGTCAGGCCCCTCCCCCCTCCCAAGCCTCCATCCTTTTTAAAAATATATATATATTTTATTGATATTTTACAGAGAGGAAGGGAGAGAGATAGAGAGCTAGAAACGTCGATGAGAGAGAAACATCGACTAGCTGCCTCTTGCACACCCACTACTGGGGATGTGCCCACAACCAAGGTACATGCCCTTGACTGGAATCGAACCTGGGACCTTTCAGTCTGCAGACTGACGCTTTACCACTGAGCCAAACCGGTTTCAGCAAGCCTCCATCCTTAACTCCCTGATCAGCCATGTAGCCTCTGGCTTGGGTGGGTGCCTTCTCTGGAGACTCCACTTTCCCCACCTGGGAGTGCTGATACCATGTGATGCTGAGGGGCCTCTCTGGCCTCAGAATGGCTAGCTGGAGCCCCACACAGACGCCCCCCGCCCCCCCAACAAGCCTGAGGGGGGAGGGGTCTCCATAGTCCCTAAGGAGGAGGCGTGGTCGAGAGCGCCTTGAAAGAAACCTCCAGCTAATGCTCTTTATTACAAGCCTTAATCCTGCAAAGCCGACTGGAAATAATGTTTATCTTTTCGCAGTTTAATTTTCCGGACCCTAAGCCACGGGTCAGTGAGGGTGGCTGGAGGGTCCCCGGGGAGCAGAGCAGGCGCATCTGTGTCCGGAAGCAGAAGGAACACAGGGATGGAACTTCCCAGAGGACGTGTGTGTGTGTGTGTGTGTGTGTGTGTGTGTGTGTGTGTGTTTGGGGGGAAGGAGGAGAGGAGGAGCCCAAAAGGACCCTGAGTGGAAAGTTGGGGTCCCTCTCAGCACAGACGCTGTGACCCTGAGCCAGTCCCTTGGTCTCCGTTTCCTCACCTGAGAAAGGGCTTTGTATTTTTGTGGGTCATGATCTCTAAGGAAGACTTTGCACTTGGCTTTGAGCAGTGGCTGGAAATAGACGAGGAAATGGGGAGAAGAGCTTTCAGAGGGGAAAGGGCGGCAGTCTGCCCCCCAGGATGGAAAGAGTGGGCTCCCACAGCTCTCAGGAGCGTGGGTCATGATGTTTTTCAACTCAGAGTAGAAAGAAATCAGTCCCTGGCCTGTGCCTTGGTGTAAGATCCTTGTTAGGGAGGGAGTAAAGTGAAGCTTTTTATATATACCACTATATAGTTCACTGGAAGAATCTGCACTGTTAACTGGTGCACCTGGTAAATATTTCATTGAAAAATCCACATTATTAACTGGTGGACCTGCTAATCGTCATACTGGCTAATAATGTGGATTTTTTTTTTCCATAAATATTTACAGGTTAGTAGTGCGGATTTTTAAAATAAATGTTTACCGGTTAGTAGTGCAGATTTAAAAATAAATATTTACCGGTTAATAATGCGGATCCTTCTTCCTGGCTTGCAAATGGCCACCTCTTGATGAAACAGGAATTTGGGGGTAAAATAGGACAGGTTTGGGGAATTTTAGGAATTGTGGAAATGAAGGGGATGTGGAGGAAGCACAGGGCTGCAGAGCAGCAGAAGGTACATTTCCACAGACCGAGGAAGCTGGGAACAGCAGAAGGTCTATACTTATAAAATAAAGAGAAGGAAACCCTTCATTCAGAAGGAGAAGAAGAAAGCCTAAAGGGAATAGGAAAATAGTAAGGAAGGGGGAAGGGAGACAACGTCACAGTTGAGGTTCAACCTTTGAGCCCAGGAATTACCAGTCTAAGGGAATAGTGACCAATCAGAGGGGCTATCAAGGCACAGGGGTCACGGGAACCCCCCAAATTATAGCCCTTTGGTCAGAAGTTCAGGTGACCTGAGGATCCCTCAAATTGTGGCTAGTGCAATCCCTGGTCCTCTCTCATCATTGATGTTTCTATTTCTCTCTCCCTCTCCCTTCTTCTCTGAAGCCAATAATTTTTTTTGAATTGTGGCTGGTGTCGGAAGTCAGGTCAGGGCTCTCACCCTGTGGAGTCTGCACTCATTTCAGGTCGTGTCACATTGCATTGGGGTCACATGTCAGTGCTAAGATGGGTGAGTGCCCGAGTTGGACTTTATTTGGCTGGTTGGTGGCTGAAAGTCATAGACAGTTCATGAGACGATGACTGACAGGGTTAGGAACTGGGATTCTGGCGTGGGGGTGGGGGATAATCTGGCCGAGACTGATGTTGGCCAGCATTCTCCCTGAGTCCCAGGCCCCCTTGGTCACACAATCTCCATTTTGACGTGTCGTGCTCATCACCAATGATGTCTCCTTTCAAACAAGAAAGGGCAGCGATAAAGCAGATTGCATCGATTGACAGTTGAAGGCATGCTCGAAACACAGAGCCCGTGCTTGTATTATTAGGTATGAATTAATGCATTACTTTTTTATACGACCAACTGTAAAACCCTGTGTATTGTGGGGGTGGAGCCTCCCAAGCCAGGCCCCCAAGTTGCTGCCGAAGATGCTCACTCCTGGAGCAGAAGGCCCTTTTCCTCCGCCTCCGCCCTCTGCAGACACTGACATCCATGTAAGAGGCTGGTGCACCCCTAGCCCAAGCCTGCTCTTACAGCCCCAGGGGTGTGGCAGCAAGACCAGGGCACAGCTGCCCCTTGGGGAGCCTGGATCCCCTTTTCTTAGCCTCCCTGGGCTCTCCAGCTTGCTTCTTCCCAGCAACAGCTCAACACTGGCCAGGAGCATTTCAGCATTTCTTCTAGACCCTTCTGACTCCCAGCGTGGGAGGAAGCCAGGGGAGGAAGAGAGGGGTGTCAGGGAGTAGCTTGCCGCCTGTCCCCCAGTTTAACCACCCCCTTCCTCTGCAGCCTCCAGGGGTCTTACAATCTCTCTCCCTCCCCACTCCCCAGGACACGGACCCTCTCCATCCCAGACTCCAGGGACTGCCCAGCTGGCACCCTCGCTCAGGTCTGAAAGGCCATCATCCCCCCACCAGGGCGGGTCCAGTGGAGCCCAGCAGGGGAGGCCCAGCTGCTCAAGAGTCAAGCCCATAGGCTCACTCCCCAGGTGCCATCCCCGCTCCCCGGAGCTCCGAGCTCCCCACTAGGCCCAGGCCCCGGATGTTCCTCCCTCTTCCCCCTGAGCACCTGGGAGCTCGCTAGCTGGCTGAAACCAAAGCCACTGCACCCAAAATGCGGGCACTCATCCCTCCACCCCCAGCCCTGCTCCCCACACCGAGGGACAAGGCCCTCTTCCCTGCCCGCCCGCTCCCATGGGTGGGCCAGGGCCGGGAGTGTTTGCTGACCCCGGTTTAAGGGAAAGAATGCCCGGTCTCCCCCTCAGCGGGCCTGGCAAGCTGTCAGACTTCGCCATTTCGCCCCATCCTAGGAGCGCGGGGTCCTAGCACCAGTGCCAAGGGAGGGCCGCGAAGATCCCCATGGTCCCATCCAACCAAGGATGTTAAAACCCAAGTACGAGGGAACCACAGGCAGCTTCCAGACAAGTGTCTGACAGCTCCCATCATCCCTGACCTCCCAGTTCAGTCCCCACCTCCTGCGCCCAGGGTACAGCCTGGAGACAGCCTGTCCCACACAGGATGGGCGCAGGGAGCTGGGTTGGGGCGCGGAGTTCCGAGGCTGCAGGTGCCCAGGCCTGGGCCCAAACCCTGTTAATTTCTCTCCCAGAAACGGGGGCTGAGGTCTGCAGCCCAAACCATGTCCTGTCTCCCCCCACACTTCCCCCTCCAATCCCCCCTCTCACAGAGAGGCCACACAGCTTAGGTCTTGGGTCCGGCTTGATTATTTTTAAGGACACAAGGAATGGGGGAAGGGGGTGTAGACATAGATGATCCTTAGGGCCCAGGTCAGCATGGAAGTTACAACGTGAGGGGGTGGGGTGACCAGGGGAGGGAGCAGCTCAGACCCTGGATCCAGAGGAGGGAGGCAGACTGGCCCGCCTCCCCCCAGGTAACCTACCACTTCCTCTGGGATCTGAGGGGACGCCCCTCTGCCCCCCACTCCCAGCTCCGCGTGCAAGGAGAGCCTGCGGGAGGGTTGGTTTCTGTGGGTCTGTCCGTCTCTTAAAGGGGGCGGAGGTGGCGGAGAGCCCCCAGTTCCTTGGGAGGTCTCCCCACTTCTCGGAGTGAAGGTGAGTCGGCGAAGTCGGGCTGATTTCCGCAAATCGCACCGGGGCGCTAACCTGCTGAGAGAGGAGAGGTTGATTAAAACCTGGCGGCCTGGGGCGGTGGTTCCTGGGAAATTGGAGGCCAGGGGAGTCTCCTCCACGGGGAATCCGAGGTCTAGAAGTAATTTGCCCGCCAGAGGTAACACGTGGGCCCCTTTGTGTGTAAATTCAAATAACAATGGAACCTAGTTTCCGCTAATCCTGGGAGAAAAGACCACAAAGAGCTGAACTCTCATGGCCCGAGGCTGCCAATTTCTCGGGAATGGCCCTGTGTGGGGTGACACTTCCTCCCGCCAGGTCTGGCCAGAGACCCAGCGGGGAGGGGGCAGTGGGGAGGAGACGCGGATTGGCAGTCACACCCTGCTTAGGGGTGATCTTGAGATAAGTGCGCTCCAAGGACATCACCAACCCCGGCTGCCCTCCCCAGGTGCCCGCGGGGCTGCAGAGAGGATGGGAAGCTCTCTCATAAGCCCTGGCCTTCCCACTTTCCCGGGAGCCCAGGGGCCTGCCCAGCCCCAGCAAACCCGGACACAAGCATGGCAGGGGCACACCGCCCTCCTCTGCAGGGCAGGCAGGGGACCAGGGCTCCTGTGCCAGAGGGTGCCCACCTGGTGCACCTGGCAGGTCCCCAGGTGCCAGTGCAGAGGGGCAGGCTGCCCATCTCTTTCGCCACTGCCTCCCTTGGAGCTTTTTACTGTTATTTGGCTTTTACATGAGGGAAACCTAGGACTGCTCTCTCTAAGCTTCCGTTTTAAAGAGGGCTGTGCGCCCATCCCGTGCCAGGTGGAACCTGGCCGTGCCCAAGGGTCCCGAAGGGTATGTCACGGGCGGGGCAGCACACAGGCAGGGGTCTTTTGGACACAGTCCCAGCGCCATGGGGGGCCCGCTACCTTCTGCTCCGGACGGCGGCGGGTACTGGCACTGCCCCGCTGCCTCCCTCAGCCGCGGGCACGAGGCGCAGCTCAGGGGCAGCACCTGCATCGCCAGCGCGGGCTTCCCGAAGGCTCTGGCTCCGAGGCAACAAGGCTGGTCCGGTGCGGAGTCTCTGAGGCCTGTGGGGGGCTGTCGGGGAGTCAGGCGGCACTCGGGGCTGCTGCGGGTTTTGGGCGGGGCGGGGGGCGCCCCTTGGGCGGTGGCCGTGTGCGCCAGGGACCAGATGCGGGGCTTCTGGCCGCAGGGGGAGTGCGTGGTCAGGGCGGGGGCTCCTGGCTCCACCCGCAGGAAGTCAGCTTCTCCCGAGGATCCGGGGGGCTCGGGGAAAGAGAAGCGGGGTGCCTTCAGGCCGCACTCCCTGCGCTCCGGCCGGCCCAGGGGAGCCAGGGCACATGGGGTCGGCAGCGGCTGCGCATCCTTGTGGCACTCCACGAGCCTGTCCATAGCCATGACCTCTGCCTCCTCTTCATCCTCCTCCTCCTCCTCCTCCTCCTCATCCCCCTCCTCTTCCTCCAGGTCACTCAGCCGGAGGAGTCCCTGAGCTTCCCGGCTCGCAGCGAGGTCTGCAGGACGGGAGGAGAGAGTGAGAAAAGCGCCAGGCCAGCCCCCGGGGAAATCTGCGGGAGTGCCGGTCCCCAGAAGCTTTTAGCGAGATGTGCCCGGCCCTGGGGCATGCTGGGAGTCCTCCACCAGGAGGACCACACCAGCCCTCACCAGGGCCCCAGGGACAGAACGCCCGCCCCAGCCTGGACCCCACCCCACCAGACCTCTCCTCCTCTCCATTCGCCCCCAGCCCCCAGGCGGGGGAAACCCATATAAAAGGCAAGGGGGTAATTTCTATCTCGTTTCCGCATGCCCAGGTGGCTGGTGTGTGGGATGTAAAGCAGCAAGAGCTAAAGAGGTGCCAGACACCCAGGCAATTCATCCTGGGAAAGGGCTTCTGGGGGCCCTGAGTTCTTAAAGGGGTCACAGTGCTCCACTGCGAAAGGGTTAAAGGGGGCTGGCCTTAGAGAAGAACGAGGGGGCTGCGTTCCTTGGCTTAGGCGGCCAGGAAGGACCTGCCCAGGTGGCACTTTAGTCCAGACAAAGCTGGTTCTGTAGGGGAGGCGGGGCAGAGGGTACCTGCGGGCACAGGCCCTGAGGCCTGCAGGGGGAGCCAGGTGCCAGGGTCAGCGAGCAGCGCCCTCCCTAAAGCCCACCCCGAGGGCAGCAGCAGGCAGCTGGGGTGGTGCCAGTGGCGGATACCTTGGGCCTCACCCCGTAGGCAGCAGCCCGGTGACTCCCGGGCCCCCTCCTCGGCCCTCCGCTCTTCCCCGCCCCTGTTCTTGGGCGCCCAGGTCATCTTGTTCTCCTTCTTGAGGCGCCGGCGCGCGTTGGCGAACCAGGTGGACACCTGGGTGAGCGTCATCTTGGTGACGATGGCCAGCATGATCTTCTCGCCCTTGGTGGGGTAGGGGTTCTTGCGGTGCTCCTGCAGCCAGGCCTTGAGCGTGCTCGTGGTCTCTCGGGTGGCGTTCTTCCTGCGCCCTGCGCTGCTCAACTCCGTGGCCGAGTGGTACCTGCAGGGGGAACCCGGCTCACAGTCCTGGAAGGGCCGGCCACCTGGGGCGGCGGGCAGAAGGGGGGGGTGCGGCCTGGGGATGGGCTCTGCTTCCTTCCCTCCCTGCTCATCCCCCTTCCCACTCGCTGCTGCCCAGATCAGCCCTCCCTAGGCAGCAGATGGGGAAGGACCTTCCCTGCCAGCCACCAGTGTGCCCCACACCTTACCGCCCACACCTTACCGGTCATAGGGGTAGTGCCCCAGCGTGGGCTCGTAGGGGTAATAGGCTCCCGGCTGCGAGAGGCTGGGCGCCAAGCTCCCTGCGGTCTCCTTAAACTCATACTGGGCGTTCTGGTGGGGGGAGGGGAGGGGGAGGAGGAAGGAAGGACTCAGTTCTCCCTGCATGTGGGGAGGAGACCAGGTGGGGTCGGCGCTAAGGATGTCAACTCCAGAGGAGTCCGTCCAAGCTCAATTCCAGTACCCATGGCCTCGCACTGGCCTTGCGATCTTGGGAACGGTTGCTAACCTCACCATGCCTCAGTTTCCCCTCGGTCAGCGGGGATGATAATGGTCCCCGTAGGCTATTGAAAAAGCTCTGGCAGGTGGAATGTCTGGGGCAGCATAAGCAGTAGTTACGCGTTAGCGGTTATGACTACTGTTACCACTGGTGCGTCCCTCCCCCCACCTGGGGGACTCCCCTGCCTCAGTTTCCAGCAGAGCTGGTGTCTGACCCTGCCTATCTCTTGGTGACTCTGGGGAAGGTCTGGACCCCAGCTTCCTCAGCTGTACCTTGAGGGGAGTAGGGGACTTGCCTAGCTCCTGTGAATAGAGATGCAAATGTGTGAATAGAGATGCAAATGTTTCCTAAACAGCGTGGACTTCTGCAAACTGTGACTTAACCCCTTTCCAAGACCCCAACCACTGCCTGTCCTCCAAGGAGCTGTGCGTCCTTCCTAGGTTTCCCTGGAGACGTCACAGTGGGTTTCCCCAGAAGCTTCTGCCCCTGGGCGGTGGGTTCTGGAGCCCAGACCCCAGGTCCCACCCCCTGCACTCACCAGCGCCCCGTACAGCGCGGGCGGCTCTGGGCTGTAGGGCAGGTACCCGGGGTAGCTCTGGGCAGCCGCAGCGGCTGCGTAGGGGGCTCCATAGATGCCCAGGGCCGTGCCCAACTCCGGCCGCGCACTGCCCAGCAGCCGGCTGTCGTAGGGAGCTAAGCAGAGAGCTGCGGCCGCCGGGCTGGAGCCCGAGGCCACATCGGGGACGGAGCGCGGGGAGGATTCGCAGCAAGTGGCGCTGGAGTTTGCAGACACCAGGAACTAGGGGGGCGGGGGCGAGAGAGAAGGCATGGGAGGTCAGAGACCCCAACACGGGATCGCTCCTTCGTTCAACATCACCCAAACGCCACCGCCGGCTGAGCATTCTGCTGAGCCCTGCACAGGGGGGATCCGAAGACAGTTTCATCCAAACAGCCCTCAGAGACGCTCCTGAGCCATCGCTAAGGCTGCAGTTCCCACGGGGCCCGGCCACTGAGGACATTCTGAAACCCACTCTGCTGGCTCCCCCGCCCCGTCCCCGTCACAGGGTCCTGCAAAGGCAGAGCTGGAAGTTGGCCCTGGAAACCTTCATCCTGTCTCAGGCAGACAGACCCCCATTTGACAGGAAGGGCGGGCAGGCTTGTCCAAGGTCACCGAGGGGGTCAGAGGCCGGGCGGGGACTGGACCCCAGGAAGTTTTACCCCGCACTCTGGCGAGAAACTGGAGAACAGGGGTGGGCACCCCCAGAATTTCTCCAGGAAACCCTGGTCCCCGCACAGCGCCCACACAGGCCTGTAAGATGGAAGGAACCAGAAGCGAGGAGCTTGGACGGACCCAAGGAAGGGGGGAGGGAAGAACAGAGGTCAACCACGAACAGCAGCAGGACAGCTGTGGGATGGAAGTCTCCTTCCCTGAGCCCCTCCAGGCCACCTCAGCCGGCTCTCTGTGCAGTAAGGGGGCCTGTCTGGAAGCTCCCCGGACCCCACCCTCCTCCTGAGCGCAGGGTCAGAGGGTCCCTGTTTGGGGTCACCCCTTCTTCCAGGCTTGCGCTGGGGGAGCGGACCTGAGGATGTCAGAGTGGACTGTGGTACCTTGTTACCTGGTCCCTGCTGCCTCTGGTCTCCCGGGAGACCCATCGGAGAGGAGGGTGCTCAGGGACAGGCGGGTGCACTGGGTACCCCCTCCATCCAGTCGCCCCCGCCCCCCAAAAGAGGCGCCTCTTACCTGGGAAGCGCTGCCATACGGGTGTCCAAAGTGCGGGAAGGCCATGGTGGCTGTCCTCGGCTCTCCTCCCTCTTCCTAGCGTGCTCCCTCCTCGGCCCCCGCGGTCCTGCGCCTCCAGCCGGGCGCTGCCTCAGTTCCTTACGCGGCTGCGGGTGGTGCCCAGCGCCGGGTCCTCCGCCCGCTCGGCGCTCCCAGAGGCAGAGCCCAGGGCAGACGGGCCCGCCGAGCCCCGCGCTCTCGAAGGCGCTGCACAGGCTGCCGAGGGCCGGGAGGCAGGAGGGCCCATGGATGAGCCGGGGGAGGGAGAGGAGGCGGCGAGTTCCCCAAGGCGCGCGGTGGGGAGGCTGTGCGACTCCGGAGGGGTCCGAGGCGGCCAGAGGCTCCGCGTGACGTCACGGTAATCCCGGGCCGCCAGGCGGGCCCTCGGGCCCCGAGGCCCCGGGCCACCCAACGCGCCCAGCGCGGCAGCCCTTGCGCGCTCACCCGCACCTACTCCTTATTCCGAGTCCCCACCCTCCTCCTGAGCGCACGGTCAGAGGGTCCGAGTTTCGGGTCACCCCCTTGTCCAGGCTTGCTCTGGGGGAGCGGACCAGAGGATGTCAGAGGCTGGTGCAGCCGGCGAGGAATGTCAGAGACCCTGACCCTCTCCGCTGGGCGCGCAGGATCCTACCCCTTTGCGCTTTCCATCCGCGCGCGCGCACGCCTCCCTCTCCAAATTCCCTGGGCGCAGCGCTCACCTCCTCCCCGCGGCCCGGAGGAGGAGGAGGAGGAGGAGGAGGAGGGAGGCCTCCTGGGCGGCGAGGGAGGAGAGGATCCAAAAGGAGGCGCAGGAGGAAGAAAGCGGAGGAAAGCGGGGGAGAGATGCTAGCGGAGAAGGAGGCGGAGGGGAGAGGAGAGCGGAGCCGGAGTGAGCGGAGGCGCGCGGGGCGGGGAGGGAGCCGGGCGGGCGCGGGCTGGGCGGCGGCGGCCCGGCCGCAGGTGGAGGGGGAGCGGAGGCTCCGGGGTGAGGCTTCAGCCGGCTCCCCACCCGCCCTCCGCCCGCAGCAAAGTTTGTTCGCGTCCCAGGCCCCCCGAGAGAGATCCTTGGGGCGGCGCTGGGCGGCGCCGGTGAACCCCGCTGGCGCCTTTGTCCGCGGGGACCCGGCTCTGCTCTCCAGTGCCCCAAAGCTAGCTGGATTCGTGCCCTCCCTTGGCGCAGGGGCCTTTGCCAGGGCCTTGGCCCCGGCGGGCTTCTCTGCCCCTCGGGCCCTGGAACAGGCCGGATAGCGCCCCCTCGAGGCCCAGGTTCAGGCGCCCCGAGGATCCACCTGGAAACGCGCCCAGCCTGACCCCGGGCCCTGCAGACCCTGAGCTCAGCCCGGGGAGCGGAGCCGCGGGAGGCGCCGGGCCGGGCCGGGCTGCAGCGGCGGCGCTCCGCCGGGGGTGGCGCTGGCGAGCCGCGCTGGAGCGGGCCCTTCGCTCTCCGCCTGGACGCCCGCCCGGCTGGGCCCCGGGTCTGACCGGCCCCCTTAGTCCCCGGGGCCCTCCAGGGGCACGGATGGGCGCATGAGCTCTTTGGGGGCCCGGGTAGGGGCTACGACCTCCACGCCCGCCCCGGGAAAGCGGCCCTGGCTGGTGAGCGCCGTAGATCCCGCACCCCAAAAAGGCTCAGCCCCTAGGCCCGGAGCAGCCTCCCCGGAGGGCCTGCACCCCGAGAACAGGGACAGCCCTTCTGGAGGGCGCTGGCGGCGGCTGCCCGAATGCCAGGCGAGCTCTGGGTTTGGGAGCTGCAGGCCAGTGACCTCGGGAAGCCTGGCCTTCCACTCCCCGGGTCACTGCACCTTCCAGCCCTCAGGGCCCCGCGGGAGGAATGGGGTTCGGGGAGGGTTGGTCCAAGGGCTCAGCTTTATGTTCGAGCTGAAACACAAGAACCTCTGGCCCCCTCGTTAGGGACAGCCCGTCTCCTCTGCCCTGGGTCCTCGCAGGGCCAGGAGGGGGCACAGGGGCAGGGCCAGGTCGGGGCCCCGTTTGCCTCTGGCCCCCCGAAGCAAAGCCACCCCTTTAGAGCCACATCTCCGGCTCCCCCTTTTCCAAATCTCAGGTTCTGCAGAACTGGGGAGGCGCTTACAGAAGCCGCACTCCCAACCGCAGGCTCCCCCCTGAGAGACACGGGACAGTTCCTTTCTGAGCAGCAGCGGGAGCTCAGCGAGGGCCCTGAGCCAGGAGAAACCTCGCCTTCAACCCGGGAAGCTGCCCTCCTTAGAAAGAGAAGGATGGTTATCGCCTGATTGATTTAGTGATAACACTTCCCCATAATAGCTGGATCCCCTGATTTCTCCAAATGCACTTTGGCGCCATCCACACATTTGCGGCTCGGATGCATCTGAGCTTTTTTTTTCCTTCTTCTTTTTTTAAGTGAGAATTGGAGAGCATTCATTAAATTAGTCCCTCGGGGGAGATTACGGCTAATTAATTAATTGCAAACATTTCCAGAGGGAAGGTATGTCAATTGTAACGTAATAAAATGAGGTGGTTGAAATCCTTACTCAGCAACTTAGGTTGCCCATTCGTTCCCAAGCAGGTTTTTTTTTTTCCCACCCCCGACAGAAAAAACGGGGATGGTGGTGGAGAAAAAGCATTAGCTCAGTCCCCTGGAGGTCTGGTTGCAAAGGAGACGCTACCGCAGAGCAGGTATTGATTTTCGGCTGATTTATCAGACCTCTGCGGTATCAGTGCGCGCGCAGGGCCTGCAGGCCTCCCTCTCGTCTCTGCTGGCTGGGATTGGAGGAAAGCAACCTGATTTTTTCAAAAGAAAAAGAGAGGAAGAGGAGGAGGAACAGCGGAGAAGGAGATTGGGACGCAGGGCTAGGGAGATACCCCAGCTCATTTCCTTCTTATCCGGTAAAAAATATTAACAAAGAACTCCACTCGGAAGGGCCTTCTGCTCAGGAACCTTCCCATTGTCCTCCTGGTTGCTTCGTGGTACCAGGATGTGCAAGCCTCTGGGTTCCAGGTGTGGGGACCGCGGTTGGCTATTTCTTTCCGAGGGGTTGGGGGGGGGGGAGTGGCACCCACAGCTAAACTCACCCTGGCTGCTGACATGGAGTGCCACCCCTTTGAACGCTTTGTGGGGTTCCCTACAATGGATTCTTAGGGAAGTGTCCCTATTTTTAAAAAAAAATATTTTATTGAATTTTTTACAGAAAGGAAGAGAGAGGGATATAGAGAGTTAGAAACATCTATGAGAGAGAATCATCGATCAGCCGCCTCCTGCACACTCCCTACTGAGGGTGTGCCTGCAACCAAGGTATATGCCCTTGACCTGAATTGAACCTGGGACCCTTCAGTCTGCAGGCCGATGCTCTATCCACTGAGCCAAACTGGTTTCGGCAAGTGTCTCTGTTCTTGCCATCCTCTCGGGACCCCATGTGGGACCCAGAACAGAACGAAGCCAGAGGTTAACCCGGGATCAACCTTCCTCTGGCGGAAGGCGCAGGGAAAGGCAGTCTGTGTCTACATCGGAGTCCCTGCAGTGGGATCTGTTCCTAGACCGTCCATAGGCGCCCACTATGGCTTCCATACTCACGAGGGCTCTGAGCTTCTCCACCCACCGCGCTGGCTCTTTATGGCTCTGCTCCGCCATGATTCATTTTGTTTCGGGAAAGATGCCCGCTGGTATATGTGTACCCAGAGACTTTTATGGGAGCTGGTAACGAGAGCTCTCCCATCTAGACCCTCCCAGCTGCAGGGAAGAGAGTCAATTAAGCGAATATGTTTCAAGCGATGATACAGGGTCTTTTATGGTCCGGAGTGGCATGCCCCGGCATTTCCCCCAGCTGCTCATTAAAGCAAATATGCAACAGAGTAAACAATCCAGGGCCCATTTGGAGCGGAGAGTATTAATAGTCCACTTTGTTTATTTTCCACGCTGCTTCGCTCGAAGGCATTGAAGGTCCCAGCCAGCAAAGGAAAGGATGTGTCTTTGACAATAAACTTGAATGGAAGTCTCTCTCTCTCTCTTTCTCTCTCTCTCTCTCTCTCTCTCTCTCTCTCTCTCTCTCACACACACACACACACACACACACACACACACAAAGAAATCGTACTGTGTTAACTTGTTAATTTTGGGTTGAATGTCCATATTTCCTACTGATGCATCAAGACAACAGATTTTTACTGGGAAAGGGGGTGGGGATAAGCCAGAAATGCCCCCCAATCAACCTCAAATGCCTCCTAGAGAAAATAGGCTAGTGCAGGGGCACAAAAACACAGGTGAAACGTGTACTAGGTTATATTGCTTAGGTGCAGACGTGTTAGGGACTGGTAGGAACCGGGAGGAAGGAAATTCCCCCAGAAATTCCCCCAACCTCTGCATGGATGAGCGAGTCCATCTGGACAGACGCATCTATAATTTATACCGACCACTCACCGCAGGTCTCCCCAGCAGGGCCGGGACGGATGCTCATTGTTCTGACAGAAGCAGTGTGCGTGGCATCTGACCGGGAGAGGCAGGGGGCCTCGGCCTGGCCTGGCTACACGTTGTCAATAGCGATTCTGGAAGCAGGAGGGGGAAATGCAGAGGCAGTAATTCCTGGGTGAGGGTGTTGGTGTTGCTTGGTAGAAAGGTGGCAAATAGAAAGAATGAACTTCTGGATAAAGTGAAAGAGAGAGAGAGAGAGAGAGAGAGAGAGAGAGAGAGAGAGAGAGAGAGAGAGAGACCCTGTTTCCCCGAAAATAAGACAGTGTCTTATATTAATTTTTGCTCCCAAAGATGTGCTAGGTCTTATTTTCAGGGGATGTCTTATTTTTCCATGAAGAAGAACACGGTACACATTTATTGTTAAATAAAAATAAAGGAAATTTATTACCTGTATGGTAGTACGGTAGTTGTCAACACAAACCAGACAAACTGTGAATCCTACAGTATCAAGAATTTACTCATTTATTCAATGACAATCATGTCATCATCTTCTGGAACACCATCGTAACAATCCAATTCCTGAATTTCCTGGTGAATTTCTTGTGACTCCATTTCTTTCAGAATCAATGGACCAAATCTCTCATGATTAGCTTAGGGGGGGCCTTATTTTCGGGGGGGGGATGCCTTATATTTCACTCAGAAGGAAACCTGTAAGTAGGTCTTCTTTTTGGAGGATGTCTTATTTTTGGGGAAACACGGTAGATAGAAATAGAGATAGAGAGAATGCAGGGCTCCTGGAGTGTCAGCAAACCAAGTGTTAACCTGAGCACAGAGTTCACCAAGGAGAGCTTGTTAATAACCAAATTCCTTTGCATTCATAACATGGTTTGGAGCTTTCTGGAACACCTCTGCTTTTTCTGTTTTCCTTTTCTTTCCTTCTTATGTAAGGCTCCTGATGAGGACGTTGGAGGGATGAGAAGCAAATCCAAGATCACGTAGCCCAGTAGGTGCCAGGGGGGGACCGGAACCCCGCCCTCTGACCTTGGGTCTTCCCACGGGGCCGTACTTCAAA